ACATAAGTAAGCATTTAGTATATAAATTGTTCATATAAATATGTATGTGTGGTTTGTAAATATGTATATGGCCTATATTACATGTATGTATGTATAAGTATTTAAAAAATACATTTTAACAGTTTAAAAACTTATATACTCATATTTTTTTATAAATAATAATTTTAAATTTAACACACGTTGTTTTCTAAAAAAAAAAATTTTACAATTTAAAAATTTTTTTTATATTTAAATTTTTTTTGCATAATTAAAATTTTCTTTAACGAAAATTTTTGAACACTTTTTGAGTTCCCGACCAAAAAAAATTCGAGACTTGTTTTACGTTTTGTCTTAAATCTTAAAACCGGAATCTTTAGAATATATTAATATACCATATAGAATAACAAATATGTATGTCCAGATTTTTATTAGAAATCGATATATTATATAACAGTTAATATAAAATGTTCGAAGAAAAATGCGGCTTATCATTACTAATTTTCTCATGCTTCACCTACTTTCTGTACTTAAATACATTAAGAGCAAATTCTGGAAATAAAAAAAATCTTTTTGTTTTTTGTTCAATAACTATTGTAGAATATGCCTACAAGAGCATTTTTCTAATTTCAAATTATTTTCGAAGATATTGGTGTTTTGCTGACCCGGCATCCAAACTGGTACTTTAAACGCGTTTTTCTCGAAACTTTTTCAAAACAATACCCAAACCTCTATCGATACCGATTTACCTGAAATTTTTAGAGGGTCTATAAATAAATAGACTTGTCTATGGCTGGATATGGAACTATCCATATCAACAAATTAAAATTTTTACCATATTTAAAAAATTTGAAACAGTCAAAGAAAGTGAAAAAATTTGCTTCAAATTTTCCGTAGAACCAGACATTATTCTAGATTACAATATATGTAAATATTTTTGATTCAGATTGCTAGGAGGGAAAAGATGAAATGAAAGACATGCCTCTAGACCAGAATACCACCTTAATATTGATTTTTTGATTACAACCAGTTTTTATATTTAAATTAGTATTTTATTGACTATTATAAAATAATATTTTGATCTTTGAATTCATTGAAAAGAATGAAAACTTTTTGTTTTTGGCATATTATTACTTTGATACAATCATTATAATATTAATATGAAAATGGGCGAAATCGGGTGATAACCTCACCCATTGCCCATATAACAGTTATGTTGAAAACTACTTATGATAAAGTGCTATAATTTACTAAATAAATACTTCAGAAGCATGAAATTGCACATACTAAATGAGACAGAAAGTCCTTATAGGAGCCGGTGACAAAATTGCACAACTCTTTATATGAAATCACAATTCTCAGTAACAACTTGACCAATTTAAAAATTTAGTGCATTATATTATCCTGACGTTCTTATACTTCCATGTAAAAATAGGCGAAATCGGACTGCAACCACGCCTATTTTCTATATATAACCAGTTTAAGTTCCAACTGATTCTTTAATGTAGACCCCAGTGCCTAGTCTGTGAGATATATTATTGAAACTTAGTGAAAAACCTTTTATGATAACAATATGTCCTTGTGTTAAAAATCATGTCAATAATTCTTCTGGCCCCTATACATATACCTACCTAATATAATTATTTTCAATTTTCTAGTTGAACTTTTTCTGTTATGTATACCAAAAATATTTGTTAGCCGTTTGGTTTGAGTTTATATCGCATACATACTTATATCTCATTATAATAATAAAATTAGTAATGAAATTAGATGAGTCTATGTCAATTAATTTAAGTTACTGAGATACCAAATCTGATAATAATCCATTAACGGTTTCATTGCATAATGAATATTGAATTCTTAGCAATATTTTTTATGTAAGCTGCATCGATTTATGTATTATACCCTAAAGCACAATATACCATATATTGTAATATTGTAATATATATGTATATATGGTATACATATTTGTTATTCAATAAAATATTTAACATTGTGATAAATAAAATGCCATTATTTTTTATTATAATTATCGAATTACTGCTTCATTTATAAATATTTGATAGAAAAGTCAAGCTCAGCAAAAATATTTTCCATTGCAAAACTCATTCATAATTGTATGCAGCCATTAAGAAACACAAAACAACAAATATGTATGTATATATATAAAAATAAATTAAATAAATAAATCGGAGGCAAAAACGGCGGATATTTATTCAAAAGCTAAAAAGTGTCATATTCACAGAACAGCTAAGCAATTTATAAATATGAAAAAGTTAAATGACAATATATACAAAAAAATACATATAGTATATGTACATATATAATATACAAAAATCTACAGACATACATATGTATGTAGGTATGTATGGACGTATGTACTATATAATGATAACCAAGAAAGCTGATTGTTAATTATGTGTGATTGAAGGCACGCCTGTTTCTATATCTATACATTAACAAATCGAAAAAAAAAATTTTATAATACTTTTTTATTTAAAGAAATGTCTAGATACCTATAAATGACTACACTTCTATACAACATATGAATATATTATATATAATAATAATATTTATTAAAATCAATACACATGCTTACATATACTTATTATAACCGATTATTTGTTCTAGAAACATAAAAATCCCCTCTATATTGAATGGATGTCATTTTGAAGTGCTGATGACATGCCTGACAAAGTCACAAAGCCAAAGCAGTACTCGGCAATTGGTCAGCGCTTTGATGAATTTAAAATGCCATTGTACAAACTCAACAAAGGAAATCGAAAATAATGAACCAACATCAATGGATCTGTGTCTAAGCACAAAAAAGACTTGGAATTAGAAATGCTTGATAAACAGAAATTTCATTCATATAATCGAAATGTTAGATACAAATGTGAGGCAGCCGTTAGTGAGAGTAGGAGAGTGTGAGAGCAACTTTCGCATTTCCCCTTAACACATTGAAGAGTGCAGCAAACTAATTATTACGCTCAACAAATTAATTGTTTACTATGCATGAGCGCAGCGAGACCACAATTACATGCTCCCAAATAAATCATAAATATATTAATGCTGCTCTACAAAAGAAATGCGTCGCAAGACGGCAAGGAATCGCATGGCCGAAAAATCAAAGCCGACCAATCACAGCGCAGTTATCACCGCCAGAGTGCGGTAGTAGTTTGAGGAGAGTGAGTGCAAGTCAACAAAATACGATTTAAGTGAGAGCACGGAGTGGTATGAGAACGCGTTGAGCGTCAATAAATAACGGAGCATTTTTGGCAGCAAAATACACTAACAACTGAGCGGGCAACTTTTGAATGAGCGCATTGTAGACTTGATGGCAGTTTGGAGACTACTCATAATGATACGGCTATGCAACTAAAGTGGAGGGATACGTTTACATTGCATTTATTTGGTGAAGGGGTAGTAGGTTTGCTGCTAATAATAGTAGCTTGAGATTTCAGAAATGTAGTATGGAAGGAGTAGCTCCTTAATGAGTTGTAGAGATTTGTGCTAAACAGTAGACAATGTTCGGAGGATTGTTAGCGTTTTTAATGAGAGGTAGATTGTAGACTTAATCGAGGGGTAAGCTGTTAGAGTACTTGCTTAAGGCATATAAAATTAATTTGAAACAAACGAAATATGGATTTTTAGACTAAACTGTGGACCATAACTGTAGTTATAAGTGTTTTAATTGAAATTTTGTAGATTTTTTTTTATCAATTTAATGCCACAGAGTGTTAATGCTGACACATAATTTGACAATCTCTTATATAGAAAAGGACTAATGCATTGCAATTAACAGAGACTATTAAAATGTTTTTTAATTTATGAAACGAAGACTTCTTGGGTGATTGTAGACATTTTCTGGACTATTTTAAACAGATTAGATTTCATAACCAACATTTTGTACCTCTACATAGAAGAATCATCTCTGCCTTGATAATATTCAATACACAACTGTTATGCCGTAGAGATTTTAACAGAGTGTTAAAGGAGTAGCTTACTATGTAGAGTATGGCTTGTAGACTTACTTCTTTAAATTATAAAGTTAGTTATCAATTAGCCCACTAATATTCTACTTAGTGAAGGGGTAACATGTTGTAGTGTACTTAACATGTTATATCCGAATGTTAAACGATGTTACTGTTGTGTAGAGAATCCAACATTTTATACAAGAAGGAGAAATGTAGACATATTTAAAACGATTTTATTTCATAGCGATTTAATAGTTCGCTAATAACATACTTAATGGAGGGGTAAGGTGTTAAAGTTAGCATAAAATGTTAAGAAAAATTACTGTTAGGGAATATTAGCGGAGCTAGATGAGGAGTTAATATAGGGGTTAACATTTTTTATTAAGAACACCATTGAAGCACAATGTTGGAAGTACATTTGGGAAAGGAGTAAACGTTAAGGGGCATTAACATAACATTTGTTGATGTTAAATCTAAAAACAGTTAACAGAAGGAGTAGTTGGAAATTATTGAACTACTGTTATGACAATGCTGTATACATTTTTAGGTATTTGAGTAAAATGTATAGCTGTAATGGACAGTTAAAGAAGGGGTAAGAGTGTGTTGCAGGGCTGGGCTGTTAAGTACTTAGCAGAACGAGGATTGGCGCATCAAGCGTAATCTACACACTTGGTGGGGTAAAAGTCTTTATAAGCGTTTATACTCAAATGATTTCTACAAGTGCCTGAGACAAGTAAAAAAAATTTAGAAAACTGAAAATATCATAAAGCTTACAGGACCCCTCAATTTGATTTACTTCGAAAAAAATGTAATAAAGAAGAGAAAACTGACTTAAAACTCAGAATATCTGTAATAATTTATATAGCTTTAATAAAAATATATATACACTTAGTATAACACCTAAGCCAATTATTGAAGACACCTTCGAGTAAACATTCTAATTTAGAAACATAATAAGTGCCAAGAGTCTGTTTAAAGAGAGACATTATTTTAAAATAAAGTAAAAATACTTAAAAATTAACATTTAATATAAATTTAGACCACTTTAAATAGTATTTTTTTCAATGTTATTATTCTTAGACATGAACGTAGTCTTACTTTTAACATTTTTGGATATTCTTTTGAGAATTCTTCATCCGTTGCATGTGTAACTATTATTCTTCGACACTCTAAAACATTACATTACCCCAACAACTACATTCCCTACAAAATCGTGCTCTCCAAAATTCCAAGCGCCACTTCTTCAAGTATTTTTATTCCAGAAAAAATGCTGTTCATTTAAGCCACGCTTAAGCAGAGCTACCGCTGTTATTCATACATTAACGTTTAAAGTTCATTTCCCCGCTTCACAACAGAAAATCTCTACAAACGCACTGCAACATTAACTGGTATCTATCAGACCGTCAAATGCACGCGCTCCCTGCTGCAGAAGATGACGCGCTCAATGCAAGCACCACTGCAGCCATACAAAACCAACCACTGACCAACCGGCAACGGGTCTCCAATGACGCTCTTTTGCTCACACGCCACTCTGCACACATCTGCAATACACAGCTGGTGGCTGAGCGTGGCGAGCGCATAGCTATCGCGAGCGCTGAGGCGCCTCACAAAAGGCGGAGTTTACAGCGCGGCGCGTATAAATAGCGGTGCTCAGAGCGTGAATAGCACATAACGAGTGTGTTACTCAAAGTGTACGATATTAATTAGAATTGCGCAAAGCAATTGACCTCAAAATAAAGCAAAAAAAATAAAATTTGAAAAAACGCTAAGTCTGAATAAAAGAAAAAGTAAATCTCAGCGCCACGTAGAAAAAAATTGCAAAATTTCGAGTGTGTGTTTGTGCCAATTGAACGCGCCACGTCTACACGGATTACGGGCGAACAACAAGCAAACGTACACGTTACAACAATTGAACTGGAAACAAAATTACAAAAAACAAAAACTAAACCAGCAAATAAACAAGTGATTTCGAAATCAGAATTGAAAAAACTGAAAGTGAACATTTGTGAAAAATTTGAATCTATCAAGATTACTGTGTGGATCTATAAAGCATCTACGTGAGAAACGCTGAAATCCCCTCAAAAAAAAAGAAAACAAATACCCAAAAAATTTCTGTAAATCAGAAATTTCGCCAAAAGAAATTCATTTATCACAACCTCGCACACGGCCGCCAACGACGACCGTCGCACAACCAACCGCCAAAATTCTACTCAAAGAACGTAAAGCAGTCATTTCAAAAATGAAATCCCTCACCGCCGTCTGTCAAACAGGTGCCTCCATGCCGCCCATGAATCCGAATGGACGCATCGCACGGCATGCGCCACAACGCGGCGACGGCGAAAATGCCGAAATGAAAATGTACCTCTCCAAACTGAAGGATCTCGTGCCGTTTATGCCGAAAAATCGCAAACTCTCTAAGCTGGAAATCATACAGCACGTCATCGACTATATTTGCGATCTGCAAACCGAGCTGGAGGCACATCCCGAGATTGCCAATTTCGATGCGGCCAGCGCGCTAAATATGTCCGATGATTCGGCAAACAATACGAGCATGAATAGTGAAGAGAATGAACAGCGTTTGGCTGAACGCCTATCAGGCGCTGATAGCAGTTATAGCAGCATCTTAATGCAACAGCAACAACAAAATAGCGCGCTAAACTCCGCCACATCTAGTCCTGCCTTGAGACAGCCGTTGGCTGATCGTCAAGCACCGAACACCATCCTGCCCGGCACAAATATGACAGCTGCTGCTGCACATACCACAATGGCGTTGCATATGCAACAACAACTGCAGCTGCAACAGCAACAGTGGGAGGCACAGATGCTGCAGCAGCAGCAACAACAGCAAGCGCAGCAGCAACAACAACAAACACAGCAGCAGCAAGCGCAACAGCAACAACAACACCAACAATTGCCCAGCGGCGAAACGGTGAGTTGTTGATTTGGCGTGCCGCAGAAGAAGAAGAATGCTAATATTTAAGCGTAGTCTATAGGTTGTATAGCACACACACACACACACATACACACCTGTGTGTGTGTTTCCTGTTTTCGTTAGTTTTGCGGAAATATTGTTTTGAAAAATGTGTGAAAATTTGTAATTTATTTAGTTAAGCAGCTGTATCCTATATTTTAAGCAGAAAACGTAATGTAAAGCATGTAAAAATGAATATATACACATATACATTGATATATATATGAATATGTGTAGAAAAAAATTTAAAAAAAACTAATAATCGTATAAATTGTATAAAATTTTTGTTGTTAAAGACTGTTATAGACATTTAAGTTGGTCGAATAAAATGAAGAAAAAATTGACTATTAATTTGAAAAACAAAAATCACATTTTTTCTTTTCACAAAAAAAAAACTGATCTAGCGTCAGGGTAATTAGTTTGTAGGGCAAGTTGTTGGCTCAAGCGCAATTGAAGATCTATTGTTGAGTGTTTTGAAGACAAGTATGAAGTTAAGCATTACTTAGAAGGAATGGTGAGGAAGTGTTTTTGGAGGCAAGCAGGCTTGTGAAAAGTCGATTCAAATTCAAGTTTTGAATCAAAACATTGTGTGCTAGTTGCAATCGTATAGAGAGTAGAGTTGATATTTCCATAGAAATAAAAGGTAGGCAGCAAAAATGATTGAACTTATCTTTGCGGCTTACCCAAAAACTTTTCAAAACTATTATGTGCTTTCAAAATTATTAAGTGTTGTTTAAATGCCGATACAATGCTTGTTGGCGCTAAGCGGCGTCAAAAGTTTTTTTTTTACTTTTCAAAAATATGCAAAACTAGAAATTATTATGTTATGTTTATTTGTCTGTAAAACTCTTGTTAAATTTTAAGTTGCGTGTAACTTTTTTTTACAAAACTGTTTTTTTTACTATTTCTTTAATTTTCAAAATCCTCGAAAACTTGAAATTATAATGTTTTTTAATTGCCGACAAAAACTCTTAAGTGGCATGTAATTTTTGTTTAAAAATTATTTATTTTCTTTTGTCACTTAATTTTTAAATAATATATAGAGAGAAAAATAATAATTTTCCACAGGCATAAATTAATATTTTCAAATAATACAGTAACGAAATTTAGAATTTTTGAAGTAAATTAATATATAATAATTCAGAAAATTTTTTATTTTTCACATGTAAACTATTTTAGTGGCATTTAACTTATTTTTGGACTCAATTTTTAAACTATGATTCATAAATGTAGTAAAAAAATTAATTAAACAGCAGTGAAGTAGTCAAAAAAATAGAAAAACGCAAAAAAAAATTTTTAATAAAATACTAAGAAATACCACGTTAAAGAAAAGGTCTAAAAAATAATCGATATTCAAAATTTATTATTTAAAATATCATTTTAAATATATATAATTTTTTGTTTCTTTCACCATATTTGCTCACAACTAATATAGTTAACGAGTTAAAACCTCAAAAAGCTAATTTACTTGAAAACCAAAATGTCTCGGAAGCACAGAAAGTTGTATTTAAGTATATAATTTTTCATATTTTATAGCAGGGCTGAATACCGACTTTGAACGGAACCGATTTTCGAACCGTACTGCTTCCATTTACGGTCATTAAAACGAACTACGAACCAAACCGCTTTTATTTTAAAATGCCAAAACCGAACCGGAAACGACTCAAAAAAAATTTTTCGGTTCGGTTCGGTTCAAAATGAAAATCGCTACTAAACATTTTTAAGTTTAATAATACATGACGTGCTTAAAAATGCAACCCTTATGATAAGCTGCCACAAGCTGCTTGAACGCAACGCCATGAGATGTCCTTTTTTACTGTAACTTAAAATAATATTAAAATAATCGCATTTGTGTTCCTTGAGAGTTGACATACTTTTAAAGTGATTATATATTTGCAAATATTTTTGAAATGAGTGTGAATCCAGTACACAAAAGCTTTTATTTTGACAAAAATTATTATACAAGTGAGTAAATAAAACATTGCAAATTTAAAATGAAAGTAAAACATACAGCAAATTTGACGAGACACATACAAAGAAAGCACGCCGACGTTTCAGAGAAGATCGTTGGTGAAAATTGGAAGAAGAAATTCCAAAAGCACTCTACATTTATATATATATTTCATAACAATTAGTATAAAAAACTGAACCATTTGAACTGAACCGAACTGCGGTCCAGAGATACTCATAAACCATAAGTATTTTCTGAGTGGTTCGAACCACTGAACCGAACCGCATCGAATTTTTTAGTGGTTTGCAGTCTTGTTTTATATGGTATCAAGTATTTTCTTTTTTTGATTTTGAAATCATCACCGTAAAAATTAATACTTTATTATTTATAAAATTCAGTTGTAGAATAATAATAAAAAAACCAAAATACTTTTATCGATAATCCTCCCAGCGTGTCATATAATAAACTCTTTATTCATTGATAATAACCTATAAATATTTTCTACATTTTCACCAACGTCAACATTTTTGTTACAATCACAATTTTATTATTAATATAATATTATTATTATTATTATTATTATTATTATTTATTATTATTATCATTATCACCGCTATAATTCTCATATTTAATTTAATATAAATTATTACTGTTACATTCAAAATTCCTTTAGCATACAAATCAGTCATATAATTATTTTCCTAAGTTGTAAAATACATACAATAAATGTAGTTCTTCAAGCTTTAAAAATAGTTCCTTTAAAAAGGTTTACCAATTTAATTTTATTCTGCAATATAAGTTCATAAAACAATAAAAGTAAGCAGCAAGAAGCAAATATGCTTATAAAAACAAATAAAATATTTATAAAAAGTGAATAAATTTTTATTTATTAATATCAACAAAGCGAAAATTTTATTTATTTTAAATATATTTTAATATTTAATTTTTATAATTTTTAACAACAATAAATATTTTTATTTAATTATAGAATTATTAAGGAAATTAAAATTTCAAATAAGTAAACGGAAGCTAAAAAATAAACAATAACCGGTTTATTAACACAATTTAGTTTTATAACTGAAAAAAAGAAATCAGAGCAATAATTGAAAAATCGAAATTTTAAACAAGAAAATCTAATCTAGAAATACCTACACAAAAACCGTTTTTAATTATAAAAGAAATAAACAAAAATTTTTACTGAATATTTATCAGCGTTTAATTTGAGTTTTAATACTATTTGTATATTAATTTTCGTTTTCCTAAATACCTTGATTTCAGTTTTAATAATGTAATATTTGCATATGCATTTTCTTTAATTTTACAATTTTCACTACTTTTTTACTTTTTTAAAATGTGACTATTACACATAAAATGCATTAGTTTAAATAAATTGCATTACTTTGTAAAAATGCTAAAAGAAACTGAAATAAATGCAAAAAAAATTTTTTGAAAATATATGTTTTTTTTATTTCATTTAAATTTAAAAAAAATATATTTCTTGTAAATTAAAAAAAATATAAATTTTTCGTGAAATTTTTTACCAACAAAACGCCAGCTAAACTATAAACTACAATAAAAAAAAAATTTTTTTGGAAAATCAAAAAAAAATTATTTTTTGAAACAAGTTCATATATTTCAACCTAAGCACAACCATTCATGTTTTTATTTATATTTTTTGCTTTTGCTAAATAATTAGTTATCAACGGAACTCCACACGCCTCCTTTTAGCACTAGGAAAATTAAGCAACAATGCAACAAATATATATAAAGTATGAAACAATTGCATATTTAGCATCGAAAGTTGAAAAGAAATTGTAGGACTCAAATTGAAAAGCAAATAAATACATAATATATTTGTTTGCGGCAAGTCTAAACACATGAATACATATATATACTTGTACATATATAAATATATATGTACATATATAACCATTAACCAGATTAAATTTTAAGTACGTACAGACCTTCTTTAAAAGATAAAAATAAATATTATTATAATAAAAAAATATATATTAAATAGAAATTGCTTTAATTTTGTGATATTAAATTGGTTTTGTAAATAAATTACTTTATGTAAAAATGTTCCACAGAAAACTTTATTTTTTTTCTAATTTTTACTAACTTTTGAAACTGTAAGTAGATAGGAAGAAAATAACTAAAATTTACGAGTATTGGTTATATATTAGTTATATAAAATAATATAAGCTTTAACAGCTTAAAACCCGATTTCAAAAGTCTACTGTGAATAAATAGTAACAGTCATTTTATAGTACGTTATATTGAAGCTTAACTAAGAAAGCCTTTTGGTTCATAATGCAGAAGAACTCAGAAATCAGAAATTGAATGCATTTCGCTGCAAATAATCTAATTCTGTTAAATAATAAATAAATTAACTCCTGCGAGATCATTGCCATTTTCTTAATAGTCTCGTATGATCTGAAATTAACATATTAACAGGCACGGAGAAGAATTAAAGCATAAAGAGTAAGATTTGTTTTCAAACCTACAATATATAAAATATAATTAGTTGAGAGGGTGGACAAAGAGTGAGTAGAGAAAAAATCACTTGAAGAGTATGAGTAAAATTTTAACTCCTAATTTTTACTGATATAAAATAAGGAGCTGAACTCAGTGAGACCACGACTAGTAGATGTGCTGTTGTATTAAGGTTTTAAGTTGTAACTCTATACATTACTTCATATAGTTGTTAGTTTCATAAAGTAATTTGTAAAGTTATCAACACTACTGGAACAGGAATTGCTTTAAAATAAAATTTTAGTCGATATTAGCCTAAGTAGAAGATTTTTAATATTATATGTTAACTTTTATAACAGATCGTTATTGATTTCAACGAAGTAGGGTTAAATAGTGAACGTTTAAAATTCAACGTGTGCTGATTTCCCAGGAGATAGTTCTATAGATGAAACAGTGCTAAACTGTATTAAAATAACACCAATTATTGAACAATATTAGAAGTTATATTTAAATAAAATTATATCTAAAATTGAATATAATTTCTAGTATAGTTTCTAATTAAAGAAACATAATATTTAAATAGAGAATAGTAAGTTAAGGATAGAAGACACGAAATATAATCACCTGTAAAGCCCACTCTCCTCTTTCTTCGTACTGTGGAACAATTTTTTTTTTGGTTAACTTCAGCCAGAAACAACGCTGTAGCCATCCAAAGCACCGAAAGCATTGTAAGCTTTGGAACCTAACTTAAAATTATTCTCGCTATATATACGTCGCTCATACTGCAAACTTAAGATTCTGACGTAACAGATGGCAACATGGATTGTCCGCGACAGATTAATTCTACGATTAATTTACGGACCTTACATTGTGTTGGGTAAATAAAATACAAACGAATACGACGAGATTAAGACATTTCGTTTGAATGGGTAGTGGGTTC